CGGACCTCGTACCCGAGACCACCCCAGAGGATGGCAGTATATACGACAGCGGGACTGGTTCAGGAGAGGAGCTCAATCTGGGAGCTGAAGAATTCACTAAAGGAGGACTACTCGTACCAAGGTTAAGTCGGGATTGACGACCCCCTCTTGACCGACCTACTCCCCTCCTACCTCGGCCTCCACGAGAACTATGGCGGCCTCCACGGGGACCGCAGAGAAGCTGTTGACGCTTCTCCTCCTCGGTGTATTCCCTACCAAAAAACCAGTACTGAACAGAGCGAGGCAACCAACTCACCACCTCTTCCTCTTCCCTCTCCTGGCCACTAGACTGGATTCCGGACCAGAAGGAGAACTAGGGGCACTCATTATAAACCCCCAAGAACAGGAAAGGAACCCTTAACACTTCGAAGAGGAAAATGTATACCTCACCTTCAAGCTTAAACAGAGGTAACTACTCAATGCAACCTAACCCAACCAAAAAGAGATTCGTAAAAGCAAAGAGAATAGGAAGGTACCTGAACTTAGAAGCAAGGATGATGGGAACTAGACTTAATGCGTGAAAACCTTCACTGGAAGTGAGGAAAGCTCTAAGAGAGTTTATGAAACACGAAACTAGAACTGGAAAACGATTAAAAGCTCACTGCGAAACCAAACGAATGTAAAAGTTGTGAACCCATTCAAAACCTAGTATTTAAAGGACGACGAATTGCTGGAGGCGCGAAGGCGAAGAGTTTTTCCAAACGGTTAAGTGATGGAGGGCAAAAAGGGAATTTCACCCTGAGTGCATTAAATGCACTTCATCATAACCTGCATAAAAGTAAAGCAGAACGCCCTGCACGATGCACGAACTGCCAACGAGCGCGAAACACGTGGATCGCCTTAAGCGTCACAGCAAACGTGACATGAAAGGACGGGATAAAACTATAATGACCCTAACTGGTAAATCTTAGTTAGAGATTTAATTTAAGGATTTAAATGCCATAATTAGATTCAGTGAGCGATTTCGAGTATTTTGACTGTAATCATGACTATGTTATGAACAGTGCGTTCTGCCGGAGAATTTACAGTTTTGTGAATTAACCGGTAGAGCTTAAATGAGCAAAATAATTTTAGGAACATAATTTGATAATTCTGACGACAAATATGAGTTCAGAACGAAAAATTGTATAGTCTGGCACTTTCCGTGAAAATCTCGTGAATAGTGTTTCTACCGGGTATTTTGTACTGCTGTTTAAGCAACCGGTAGAGCCCAGAAACAAATAATTGATGAAATAAGAATAAGAAAGTCCAATATATGCCAAGCAAGTCAATATAGGCCCAAGAAAATGATAAGTTTATAAGTTTAAGTTTCATAAGTAAATGAAGTACAATTAGTGATTCACAGTGCATTTCGTCAAAAACGGTGCAAAAATCATACTGTGAATTATGAATATTGTTTTGTAAGAATTAAAAAGTAATATAAATGATTTTAGAAAAATAAAAATATGTTTGTAGCATTGAGTTAGTTCCGGGTCAGTTTAAGTGAAAATACGCGAAAGAAAAACATCTGTTAAAAAGTCACATGTGGCTATAAAGCTTTGTCATTCAAGTGAATCACTATTCACACAACTAAAACTCATTTCTCTCTCTTGCAAGTCGTGGAGTTCATCATGGAAGGGGGGGGTTTAGGGCTTTATTTCTTTTTTTGATTTCTTCTTGAATATGCCACCAAATCCAATGACCCACCACATGAAATTGATTGGAAACCACTCAATGAATCCATTCCACCTATCCATTTGAGCTATAGTTGAGTGTGTGTGAAGAGTTATTCCTCCTCTCATTTTCGAGTTACTATTCATTGGAGGAGAAAAAATGTGTTTTTGATGGAGCTTGGCTTGGAGGTTGCTTTCTAGGCTTTGGGAAGTTGATTAGTGGTAAGAAACCTTTGTTTCCATGATGTTATTTTGATGGTTTGTGTCATAGAAATTGTGAGCATGTGTTGGTGTGAAATAAATTAGTTTAAAATTTGAATTGATGATGGATTGATGATGTGTTGGATATAGGAATGTGGAATAAGCATATGAACATGTATAAAAAATTGGAAAAAAATCCCATGGTGACATACCCTAGATTTCGGCCTTGATAGGGTAATTAGGGGTGATGCACAAAGATTTATTGTATGTATTGGGAAGGTTTAATGTGCTTGAATAAGAGGAAATTTGATGAGTTAGTAAGAATGTTAAATTTGAAAGAAAATCCTTTGAAACATACCCTTGATGTTTCGGCCTTGAAGGATTTAAAGAGCTTGAGATTCCTAAAAATTAAATTGGAACTTGGTATATATATATATATTTATGTACGTGTAGTTGTTAAATTAAGTGAGGAAAATGTATGGTAAAAGAGAAGGATCCTTGGAAATTCCCTTAAAGGATTCGACATATAGGGTGTTTAGGGAAAGATGTTGTCATATTTTATTTTAATAAAATATGTGTGTTTCAAAGTATGAAAATGATAAGTCATGAAGTCAAATGGTTTGAAAAGAAATCATGGAAAAATATATTGATTTCCTAATTTTAGGCCCACGGTCCTTTAAAGTAAAATGCTATGATTTATGTTGGAAATTCGTAAGGAAATGGATGATTAAATTAAAGAACACCAACGGTTATAAAGAGGTCTAGACTTGTGTATTGGCATAGGATTGGCAAAAATGCAAAGAAATGAAAAGAAGCGATAAAATGTGTGCCTTATGTGAAAGCTAGGCATGATGGCATTTTATTAATTGGTATTTGTGGATTCTTGCTCTAGGTGTACCTAGGGACTAAAAAGGAATCATAATCTCTTGAAGATATATAAGTAACTTGTGCAACAAGTAAGGGTATTGGTAAAGCTTCAAGAGGTAAGCTCTATGTTTAAGGAGTCTTTTCCTGCTTGAGTGCTCCACCATGGTTAGTGAACTATGGTTGGACTGTATGACTGTGATTTAGATGCTTTGTATAGATGCATTCATATGGAGTTATTTGATAACATGATATGTTTTGCTCTGATATGACTTCTGTAATATGATTTCTGTAACAATCTCTGGCCATTGATTGTATAGTACCCGGACGTCCGCTTTGGGGTCCTCCCTCGGGTCTGATGGTGTACGCCTCTGATATGTCTGGTTCCGCTTTGGGGTCCTCCCTCGGGAACACGTGCGTTGATTTCCGCTTGGGGTCCTCCCTTGGGAATGACGGCGCACATCTCTGATATGATATGGATATATGCTCTGTTCTGTTATGATATCTGTTATATGTTGTATTGTATACTTTGTATCTGACTTTCATGCAGGAGTGAGTCAGGGGTATGGAGAATTCTCTATAAACCTGGAGCTTATTGAGATTTGTAATCTCACCCCTCTTTGGGGACACATTTTCAGGTGCCCAGATTCCCGGTGAGTCCTCACTAGGCAGGGACACGACACGTGGCTGAGGCAGTTGACAGATCGGATTTTGAGTGGTTGTAGGCTACTACCTTTTTGGAGTGTTTGATGTATTTTAGTATTTTCGCATTTGATGGATCATGATATTGATCCTTTATTTTGTATATGGCCTGTATATGTTTTGTACACGTCTGTCGCTTTGATGCATGTACATTTGGGTATTCAGGCACGTTATGTGATGAGGTAGTATTCAGATATGTTTACGTGTTGGATTGCATGCTGTTAGATATAGTGGCACTGAGCCAAGTTATGCATGCGCCCATGGATGGGCATTTGATTATATTTGTATAAACTGTTTATCATGAAATGCTTCTGTGTGGGATTGGAAAATCCCCAGTTGTCCGATTTATAGAGGAAACTCTGCCCGATTTATAGAGGAAACTCTGCCCGATTTTCGTTTACGACGAATGAGAATTTAAAAAGAAAAAGAAAAAGTTAGCTCGTATTTTCAGAAGTTAAGTCTTCCGCTGTTTTCTGTTTTATCATATGTATGTTAATTGAACCGGCTCGATACGGGGATGTTACAAAAACGATAAGGCCAAATTTCGATTTTCGTGTTCAAACAGCGCCTAGACTTCAAAAGTCGGGGAAAGTAGGGCATAGCTGAAGGTTCCAACATGACTAAGAACGTCAACTCGATCCAGCACCAGGAAAACAAAGCTCAGGTCAATGGTAGCCAAAAGTTCACAATAAGTTCAGGAAAATATCCGACATGATTACAACCGACTTCAAACGCAAACACCATGAAAGGTCAAGAGGCGTGGTGAACGTAATCTCGACAAAACAACTGAGTCAGAACGCTGGCGTCGAAAAACTCGAAAGTCCAAACCCGAGAACAATGAACGCGGACAAACTGAATCCGTGATAGCACAATGGCACCTCGACATCCCGGACACCGGAATACCGAGCTGCGGGGCAACTGTTATGGATATGAATATCATATCCCAACTACCTACTAGAATATCTGGTGAGATATGGAATCAGCAACATCTCAACAACTCCAAACAGCCAAGGGATATAAGATAAGGATCACATCCCAACAGAAGGAGGTTGAATCCTACTACGATTGGGGGATCTCAAGAGGCACAAGCACTAGGAAGGTAATCCTATAAATAAGAGCCTAAGGACCCCAGGTAAAAACTCAGAACACATTTACTACTTTCGCCCACGCTGTACACACACTCACGCCTTGGCTATAAGCCTATTGCTTGTGCGCAGTGATTGGGACCTCGGCTATAAGCCTAGTATACAGTTGATATACACTATCTCTGAGCGCATACCCTACGGTATAGCAATACGGTCTATCCAGGACTTAACATTTTTCAATTCACAACACGATTAAGGTAAACTAAGTGAAATAATTTATTGGATATTCATTAGTGCGAATTAAACTTCTAATTGCCAAAGAAAAAATTATAATACTTTAGTTTTCAAAAATAGACATTTTATTTGAGACAAATTTGTTCGAATAAAAACTCAAATACGTGCTATATGATTATATGACGTTTATAATTTCATGGATGAAAAAAATCATCTTGGTCCATCCACCTTATTACTGATTCTAAAACTATAATATGCAAGTTAATATACATAGTAGTACATTGCCTTCGAGAAGAATTCTTAATGCTAAATAAACAGATTAAAGTGGATCATGCAAATAGCAATCCAACTGTATCCTATGATGAATAGATCAAGAATATGGGAAACATCAATATTGTTATCGATTAAAAGCCATAACACATCTCATTAATGAAAAAATAATGCATTTGTTGTCTGTCATCGCATGAAAGGAACTAACCCCCTCATTTCTGTTCCATTTCCATTGGACAGGAAGTAAATTTTTTTCCAATTTTCTTCTGAGAATACTTCACGACGAATAAGCCTTTGCCTGTCAAAAATGAAAACACGACATACTCAGAATTTGAAACACTACTGTCAAGCTATGAAATTTGTTTGCATTCCAGTATCCACCAAGAAAAGGCACAAACAATATTCCCATAAAAATGCAAGGAAGATTATTGATCCAACAATAACCAATGGATGATAAATCCTGGTCGACATAATCAGAACTAGAAGGTCAATATACTAAAAAGAATTAGAAAGCACGTGTGATCAAGATTGACAATAATACTTCCACTTTATGACTAGAAAAAGATATAAATATATAAGTTCATTAATCCATTCATCACTTGCTGAAGAACCAGTTAAAATATCTAGAATGTATCTTTCTATTTTGACGAAATTATTGATGTGGACTGAATATGGGAAATGTCCAACAATGATAAATTTCAAATAGGAAAACAGAACAAAATTTAATGAGAAGAATTTAAAAATAGAAAAATTATGTTAGACTGATTACTTTATTAACAAATGATGGCCTTTCAATCTGTTATCTACTAGAAACTGTTACCATATGCCATAGGCAATGTTATCAACCTGACAAGCATAGAGACAGTGTAAGCATACCTTAAATAATAATGGCACACGGTGTCGGCTTCCTCTAAACTGTATCGAGGAAAAATTACACGGGCATCTACTGGAACATCTGGTAAGTCTTTTCGAAGCTTTCCTACCGCTGTTGAATGAGAAAAAGCCCCTACCATCATATCATCATGCATCATTGACCTAAAAGCCTTTACCTGCAACAGTAGGAAGACGAATATAAATGCCAGAATTAAAGCTCCATTTACCACCGCAGTATACAAGGGTGACAAACATTCCCAAAGAAGTAAATTTTACAGCAACAAGGTAAGAATGCATGAAACTGTAGCGTATTTCCAAAAGCAGAAATATAATCCATAAAGCAATGTATTGCTGACATTGTTCTAAAATAGAGAGAAGCAATGTACCAACCATTGTAATTTCTCTAGCATGTATTGGCCGACAAGAACGAATTGTGACTGGCTCCTCGTACTCACTGAATGTAAACCAGTTATTATACTGGAGACAGGCAACCACAGCAAATAAGTAAGACAATCAAAATATACCCAATTTTGAGAACAAATACTTTCAAAGAATATGTTTCTCACTTGATCAATTGCAATAAGAACAGGCATGTCTTTAACAAGTGATAACTCTTTCCTCAAACGAACTACCACTCCAACAGCTGCATGTGTTTGTTCAATTCCAGTCTTCACCAGCTCATATAAACTTGTACCTTCAGAAATCCCCAAGGAATCAGCATCTTTCAACCATCCAACACCAGCACCCTCACCTAATGGGATTGGATCAAATATTTGGCATGGCAGTTGTTTTAGGTAGGACTCGTTGTACTTCAAAAAATCCTGGAAACAAACAACCCATAACATTCATAATAACTCTGGGTTAATGAGTCCAGGAAGCCGACAACAAAATACAAAGTTTTAATTATACTCGCCATTAATATGCAGAATAGAAGTAGAAAACCAAAAATAACTTAAACAAGGGAACAACAACTTTTCCCTTTTTCCTTCTTCTATCTCAATTTCAATTTTAAATTTTTCTTTATTTACTCGCCATTAATATGCAGAATAGAAGTAGAAAACCAAAATTAACTTAAACGAGGTAACAACAACTTTTTCCTTTTTCCTTCTTCTATCTAAATTTCAATTTTAAATTTTTCTTTATTAAACATCTATCTCTCTAGCCATCTTATGCATGTGGGTTGAGAACTATAGTAAGAAAGTTCATAATAATTTAAAATTTACATGTACAGAGATCACATTGGTATAATCATGGGATAATGTGGATATTCACTCCTCTAACCTACATATTCATGGCTACAATATTATAGAAGGATATGTACAAAATCGGAGGACAGGTGAAAATAAATATTCTCTCAAAGCATTGAGAAAAATAAAGAGAGTGAGAGAGAAGTTGAGAAAGAAAGAGACGACAGAAAGGTGTGCTCATTCTTTCCTTGTTCACTAAAGATTACTAAATATGAATACATCTCAGAATTGACAACATATTTCTTATAGGTAAACTGCCAGGTCAATTAGGCAAACAGTTAGATAGGTGCCCCAATGAAACTGGAATAGCTAACCACTTGAAGCATAATAACATAGACAATTGACAAACATCCTAGGCAACTGTACAGGCATTTATAAATTGATTTATTGTTGCTAAAGTAGTCATCAAGAAATCACATTGTTTCATTCTTTTCTCTCTTTTATAACACTCTAAATACTGGACTGACCAGCGAAGAGTGTGTTTAGCATATTTTATAGTTTACACACACAAAGATACAACACAAGTAAAACTGAACAACAGTGAAATTCCCAGTCTTGCCTTGAGGACATTCTCAGCCTGGACAGGTGTGTCCCATAGACCAGTTAGTGGATGCTTATAGAAAAATCCTCCATGAGTCCATTCCCAGCCTTTAGGAACATAGAAAACCAGCCAACCTTCTTCTCGGGCCCACTGAACAAGCATTGCAAGCGCGATACTCTTCCCACAGCTAACAGGACCATCTAACACAACTTGCTTCCTAATTTTGAAGCCTAAAAAATAAAATAAAATAAAAACTCAAACACACATCAAAATTGAGCCTGTAACAAACACCAAAAATCATCCAAATCAAGGTCAACATAAAAAATAAATAAAATAAAAATCAAGTAATTCGAAATGATCAAGCATGTAGGAAGATAAAAAAACAACACAAAGACCACACCTTTAGCAGTAGAGGACCACATTGGGGGATCAACCACACGCCTGAAGTTATCACGAAGCTCCAAGAAGCTCTGCCGAACAAGCAAAGCGTCTCGCTTGGAGTCCTTGAACTCCTTCACCATACCCATTGGCAACCCCTCAGGTAAAACCGCGTTCAGGGCCTCCTTCCTGGAAAACCACAACGACCAGAAACGCAAAATCCAAAAAATGGGGAAAAAATCAAGGACGCGTACAAGGTGTTCGAAGAAATGCCACAATGGGAAACGTAGCAAAAATAGAGCTAGAATGTGTTACTTACGTGAGCTTGAAGTAGGTGCAGACATCGTTACGGGCGAGTTTGGAGAGGGAAGTAGCAGAAGAGAAGAGGGGGCGGTTGTTGGGGCCCACGTCCAGAGAAGGGTCCTTGTCGTCAGCGGCGAGGCGGCGGAGACGGTCCTGTTCGTCGAAGAGAGCATCGGCGGCGGCGGGGTTCTTGGGATCGGGTTTCGAAGTTGGAGCGGGTTTGAGGGGCTTAGAAGAGTAGCTGAAAGATGAGATTGTAGTTGGCTTGTGATGCCATTGATGATTAGTTGCTGTGGCTCTCACAAGGGACCGTAACATTTCCTTTGATTTTTCTTTTCTCTGAATGAAAAATCACAGTGATAATGAGAGAGAGAGAGAGAGAGAGAGAGAGAGAGAGAGAGGTTTTTGTTTAGGATTTTGGAAGAGGAGATTGTGAGTGAGGACTGGGAACTGAGCAGAGAAGGGATAGGGATGGGAAATTGGGAAATGATGTGGGGGTATTATGGTACTTCGGGATTTTCAAGTTTTGATTCTTGGGCGAGTAAATAGTGTTGTTAGATCACTTGGGCTTCAACCCATCTTTTTCATTGGGCTTCAGCCTAAACTGAAGGTAGCATCTTCAATCCATTAGATATGTACTATATAGCATAAGGCTTTATAATGTAAGAGATGTAATAGTGTAAGACTATGTAGCACCGATACGACACGTGACACGACACGATACGACATTCCGACACGTCAATCTTAAAAAATTATGGATTTCGACACGTTGGGACACGTTTAAATATTAAATAATATTTTTAATTTATATAGTGTATATTTCATTTAATATTTAATAATTTAACAAAAAAATGAAACTAAATTAATAATACCCATCAACACGTTATAAAGATGGAAGCTTTAATAAAAAAAATAAGAACTGGGATGAGAGAGATATAATATCAGATAGAGAAATCAAATCATATTAGAGAGAGATCAGAGAGAAGAAGATACAACAAGAGCATAATAGGAATTGACAACAATGATGCTGAGATGATCTCTTATCTACTTAAGGGGAAAAAAGATAAAAGATAAAATTGATATGATCAGGTGGAAGCTTTATTAATATATTTTAACTTTTAAAAAAAAAATTAAAAAAAATTAAAAAAAATTAAAAAAAATTAAAAAAAATTAAAAAAAAATTACGAAAATGTCATTTGACCGTGTCGGATACGGTCAAATTCGCGTGTCGGAATGGTCAACGTGTCGGAAAAAGTCAACCGCGTGTCCGACACCGTGTCGGAGCGTGTCGGACCCGACTCTTCCTGTTTTTACAAGTGTCCGTGCTTCCTTGGTGTAAGACTTAATTTGTGTAAGGCTTGATAAAATTATAATATTTTTCAGTATTTGATGTGATATTGTATAAAATATTATATTATATAAGATGATAGTGTTTTATATTGATTCATTATATAACACCAAATAAGATTAAAAAAATAATGCTTTTAACAAAATATATTTTATTTAAAAATGTATTATATTCATCAAAATATATAAAATTACTATAATATTTTGAAAAATTAAAGTTTAAAAAACACCTAAAAAACTCATGATTATTATGTATATTTAAGGGTTTGTTTTTTCTGTTGTTACTGCAGATAACTTATCTGCAGTAAGCCCAATACGACGTCATTTTGTGGCGAAAATTATAGTGTTCTTGTAATTTTAATTTATTTCAGAGTTATAATAGTCTTTATTTTATAATTTTTTAAGATTTCAATACCAAAACGATGTCGTTTTGAAAATAAATGCAGATAACTTATCTGCATTAATTGCAGAAATATTTTTCCCTATATTTAATAATATATATGTCAAATTTGCACACGTAAAGTAACAAGATTTAAATAATAATTTGGATAATAACAACATATTTAGAATAAGTTTTACTGGAATTTTAGATCTCACAGTGTTATGGACCTAAGTGAGGCCCATATCCTAAGAAGACCCGGACAACCTAAAGCCCAAAGGTAAGTCCTATAAATAGGAGCTAAAGACCACATGTATAACTGATCTCCTTTTAACCTATTTCATGCAATCACATAGCACACACACCACCACCACCCCTTTGACTAAGGTCATCCTATTGTGTGTCGTGATTTGTTACCCCCAGACACCTAATTCATAGGTATCTCGAGAGAGCATTAGATCCATCACTAATCAACTAACCCTCAGTTAGACATCTTTGCCACAGGCAGAACATTGGCGCTGTCTGTGGGAACCAGAAGGACAGCTAAAGTGGCGGATTATGGCTGTTGACTATTTTACAAAATGGATCGAAGCAGAACCAGTGGCCACAATTACTTCGGCTAGGATACAACGTTTCTTTGAAAGAAATCTGATTTGCAGGTTTGGCATCCCGGCTGAAGTAGTGACCGACAATGGAATACAATTCACAAGCAAATCCTTCAAAGAGCTGATGGCGAACCTTCATATCCGATATTGATTCGAATCAGTAGAGCATCCTCAGACAAATGGGCAAACGGAGGCAGCTAACCAGGTCATTATAGAAGGACTGAGAAAAAGGATAGAACAGTCGGCCAAAGGAAAATGGGTAGAAGAGTTGTACTATGTATTTTGGGGATACAAAACCACGATGCAGACGTCCACTAGAGAAAGCCCATTTAGGTTGACCTATGGATGCGAAGCTATGATTCCAGTGGAGTTAGGATAACCGTCCTGGAGGAGGGTTCAGGCATTAGCACAAACGGAAGAAGAAAACAATAAAAAGATGGCAGTGGAGCTAGACTTGATAGATGAGACCCGGGTTATGGCTCACTGTAAAAACTTTGCGGCTAAACAGCTTGTGGCAACCCGATTCAATAAAAAAGTAAAGCCTAGAACATTTGTGGTAGGAGATTTGGTTCTTCGAAGAGTAGACATCGGAGGGAGAAACACAGCTGAAGGAAAGCTAGCTCCAAAATGGGAAGGGCCATTCAAAGTAAAAGAAAAGTTGTCAAAGGGAGCTTACATGCTGGAGACTCCGCAAGGGAAGAATATTAAAAGAACGTGGAATGCAGACAAATTGAAGAAATATTTTAGCTGAAGAGTAGAAAGATGTTTGAATTTTACTTTGTAATTTCAAGTTCGATTATGAATAAAGTGAATAAAACGGATGTTCATTTCGTCAGAAAATTTGATAATTATTTTAAAGCCGAGGTAGTGGAACCCGTCTTGCCCAAGGGCAAGATCGTGAGTTCTAGCTAGGCACAAAAACTGAGGTAGTGGAACCCGTCTTGCCCAAGGGCGAGATCGTGAGTTCTAGCTGAGGTATTGAAAATCAAGGTAGTAGAACCCATCTTGCCCAAGGGAAAGATCGCGAGTTCTAGCCGAGGTATTGAAACCCGTTTGCTAAATTAGCAAGTGGGTTCTAACCCACATAAATAACTTGAGAAATAAGGGGACGCCCTTAAAATTTCAAGTCCTTGCGAATAAAACAAGGGTTTCGATTTTCTTATACGGTAGGAGAAAATTTTCTTATGTTGTAGACACATCTTATGTGGGGCCTATATCTATTAAAAAAACAAAAAAAATATTGCACGAAAATTGAATGGTCACTAGTAGGAGAAAACAACTCTCCTACGACATGAGAAAATATTTTCCCATAAAACAAATGTATTGCTTAAAGCAAACATACCGAAATAGCACTAAATAACCCTAATCAGGTTAGTAAGCTATTTAAAAATCCATCAATGACAAGTTAAAAGTGTATTCAAATGCATATGGCATGCAGCATTTACGGTGTTCATCACAAATCAAAAAAAAAAAGGAGTCATTACAAAACAAACCGGCATCCCGGCACTTCATTCAACCTATTGATCGTCACGCTGAAACATCTCCCACACTTCGACCTCAAACTCTTTCCCAGCGGTCTCAGCTTCCGGGTTGATGGTTACGTTCTCAGGTATATCCAGGCTTGGCTCAACTCGAGGAGGGACGTAAACCCCACCCCGGATGTAACCAAAGCAGTTCAGTTGATCGGTCTTCAGCGTTACTTCAGGATTGAAATACTTCATTTGTTTTATAGCGTTGTTGGTTTATAGCGTTGTTAAACGTAGAACTAACAGCTTTCTCCAACGCGGCTTGACTAAACTTATAATCAGACTGCAAATCCTGAAGGTTAGATTTCAGCTTATCATTCTCCAAAGCCAAAGCTTTCGTTCTTGATTCATTCTCGGCTAGCAAGGCTAGTTTCTCTTTGAAATAGTTAATGAGGGCCTCTTTGTCAGCATCAAGGCCAAAAGAATTTGACACAAGTTTCAAATTGTTCTAAAGACCACTTTAATTCAGCATCAACAACTGACAAACTTTCATTCTCCTGGACTGCCCTGTCGCGATCAACCCGGAGTGCATCCCTGTCAGCATAAATCTCTGAATGCTTCTCCAAAAGCAGAAAGTAAGGCTTCAATAGTGAGGCCACCTTGAAAGCATATAAATTGGCTTTCTGCAACTCCTCCATCTCGGCTCTCGAAATGACTCCAATCCCATAAAATGAGGGCGGGGGCGGGTAACACCACGGAGTTTGGTGGCAACCCCAGTTTCCCATAAGGCTCCTCTCCTAAGTCCAACGGGAAGAGCAGAAGGAGTTGGTGTACCTCGGTCAACAGATACCACGGCTCAAGTGGTACCTCTGGTGCCTTTAACAGGAGAAGCTTGATTACAACCTGAATCCAACCAATTATGAGCATCATTGGTAAGATCCAACACTGATATGTTGGGATTAACAGCCTGAATAGAAGAATTGGCACCTATAAAAGGACTAATAATCCTTTGCCTTTTAGCAGCATGAGGAGGCCGAGCTGCAGCCTTCCCTCAAAGAGATAGCACATAGTCAGGTACTTCTTCCGCGACAGAATCCATCTGACAATCTGCAAGTCAAACAGGCACAATCTGAACAGGGAAGAAAAACAAGTATTAAAAGACATGTTAAAAAATGAAAAAGGCATACTAGTTTGATCCATGTCGGCCTGGGATCTAGCAACCAAAGAAGTCGCACTCAAATGGCCTTGAAAGCCAACATGGGCTAGTAAGGTCTTAACGTTAGCCTTATCTTCCCCTGATAATCTCAACTTAAAATCAGCTGGCCTACGCAGGTGATGCTCTTGAGACCAATAAAGAGGAAACTTTCCCTCTCCATCCTCTCCAATAAACCATGGCTTTTCTCCGACTTCGGCAACCACTTTGAAATATGCACCTTTGAAATCTTTGAAAGAGTCACTATAAATGGAGAACAATTTTCTAGAGGGCTTGCTGGCACGACTGCGGATGCTAGTCCACCCTTTGAGTTGAGGAGGCTCAGAACCAGTGCAAGGAGTATATATGTTAAAAAAAAGGAACAGTGCAAGTCATAGACAAGGATGCACACAGTTGTTCAAAGGAAACAATATAGGCCCAATCGTTAGGGTGAATTTGAGTAGGAGCAAGAAGGAGATGGTTCAAAAGTTGTATTTTAAAAGGAGAAAGAGGAAACCGGATACCAATCTTGGTAATTAAATCGCGATAAAACAGAAAGAGTGTGGCTCCTCGGGATTCTGGCCAGAGCAAACGGGCTCGTCCTCTACTGGACAGAAAGTATTGAATCCAACCGGATTACCTATGGGAAGCCCAGATATCTCTTCAGTTCATAGCAGATCTGAAGCTTAGAACTTCCTCTATGACCCATCGAAATTTTTTGCGAAGATTACTACTGATAGGTGCGGAACCCTTCTCGGCCGGGTTCACCTCGGCTTCCTGTCCTTGGCTAGATGAGGTAACTTCCACGTTTAACTCTGCAGAAGGAGACTCTATAAATACATAGAACAAAAAAATGGAAGGATTAAAAACAGAAAAATACGTAGCAAGGAAAGTACATACCTGAACTAAACAAACTACTATGTGAAGAGCTTGAAGAGTCGCCTGAGGTAACCAAAGGGGCGGGGGTAGATGAGCTGAGATGATGAGAACAATTTCCTAATACTAGATCGGCCATGAAATCGTTTCCCTTTTCAACAAATTGGGCACTAAGGTAAGACAGTTAAAGCAGGGTTCTAGATTCTTACCACCCGGGTTAACTGGCATAGTTTGATGAGGGGTGCGAAGCGGAACAGGGTTATGAGTTGAAATCGGGATTGAGTGTAAAGGGATGGAGGTTTGACCTAGGTTGAGAGCAGCACATGTTGGCAAAACCCCTACATTACGACAGAGACCTCGACCGCATCCTCTGGTTGAGGGGCGAGATGAAGATGCTCATCTGATCCCACCACCTCGATAGCCTCCTAACAAGGCGGCCTGAGTTTCCTCTTCGGTCCGAGGTCTGCCAAACAACCAATATCTCGGACCAAGAGGTAGGTTCTGGATGAACCTTTCTTCTTCCTCGGCATACCTTTCTTCTCCCTCTGCGATAATCCCATCACTACGGCCAAAGACACGAGGACAGGTGGGTCTCCCTCAACCAATGGGATTCCTCTCACTCATACTAGGAGGAATTTTTGAAATAAGGAACAATGAAAATAACAGTAGTGACAAGTCTTAGGCAAATAATGTTGTACACGTAAATATGACAGTAGTGCGCAATCAGACAAGCAGAAACAATGCATGAAGGTTTAAAACACAAATGTGGTAATACCAGAGGAACTGCAAGTTCCTAACATATTTGCTGGTTTACACTTCATGGAAGAAGATGAACGAAGTAGTAATGGAAGCTAAAGATAAAACATACCTGAAACAAGGTTCTTGAAGAAATGTGGAAGTAGCGGATGAAAGGAAATCCAGAAGATGCTAAATCCAGAAGATGCAAGATCAGAAGAAAGGAGAAGCGAATAGAAGCCAAAGTATGAGAGTATGAAATGGGAAACGAAGTTGAATGGGTATAACCTGCGAAATGAAAGGGCAAGGATAAAAAGGTAAAATTATTTACAGACAGGACAGTTGAGGGACGTTCTGACTGTTACCAATTAATGAGATGCGAAGCGGAAGGAAGTAGTGGCACACGTTGTGTCTATTGAAAGAAGCCACGTGGAAAGTGGTTATCATTACGTAAGAAGGAAATCATTGCATGCGAAGGAAAGGGAAATCGACGTGGTATCTAGAGAGAGCATTAGATCCAACATCAATCAACTAACCCTCAGTTAGACATCTCTGCCACCAGGCAGAACACACAGTGGTCTAAACTTATATTTTTATGTGTGTAATAGTTTTTTTTTTAATTATGCACTAGGTTTTTTTTTGTGTGTGTAGGAGATTCAACTTTTTTATTTATTTTTTTGGTACACGGGAGATCCAACATTTAATTAACATTAACGTTACACTTTCAGACTTGCAAAGAGACAAGTTACTAACTCCTTGGTTGCTACTCTAATTTTTATCAACAAATATTTATTTAAAACAAGCAACCAAATAAATATTTTCAAAACTCTTTACAGAGGGCCCGATCATTGAAGCAGCCGAGGTATTGAGTCATTAGGCCAGTGGTTCAATAATGAGTTATTGGTTCAATTGCATGACCTGGTAAGTATATTCTTGGTAAGTATATTCAAATCTATAATTTACATTAAAAAATTATAAACATACTCAAATATCTGAAAATAATAATAATTTCATATTCAAATATTTTAATACAAAAAATAATAAATCACATATTATTATCCAACAAAGGATCATACACACTTATAATGCGTATGATACTGATGCTTCATGTTCAGTAGATGACATCTCTAGCTATAAATTAAATCAGAATTCTTTGCATAGTGCATAACCAAGATAATATTAATGTTGTAGCTACATAATCTATGTAAGCCAATAAGAAACAAATGTCTCAAATATTTCAAAAGAAAACAAACAATTTGTGAATTTTAAAAAAATGGATATCCTCTATGATTTTTTTTTCGAAATTTTTTTATGAACTAGGTCGGTCACCAATTGAACTGACTGGGTCACCGGTTTTCACCAAAACTGGTCGGGTTGCACCAGTTCCAATGTTTGGCCGATCAGATGCTTCACCCAAATCAATTATATGATCAGTTTATAATTTTCGGGTCGACCCATGTAACATCCCAATGGCTGGCAAGGGCACGGGTGATCGTCAATGCAAAAGAAACACGAACAATGAGTGGCTCATGCCAAATCTTGTAGCTGAAGGTACATGAATGGATCGAATCAACACCCGAAAGAGAGGAATTCCAGAGACTGTGCAGGTATGGGACGCTACAGTTGGGGATAACTTATAAAAATTAATTGGTACTACATATACCAACAACGTGCATCTACTTTTCAGTAGCCCGAAACGAAAGAATTTCATAGTTAAGTGTGCTTAAATTGGAGCAATTCTGGGATAAGTGATCTCCTAAGAGTGATCGCAAAATATGTTGAAAAGTCTTCGTGTTAATTTGTGGGGACAATCATTGATCTTGCAAGCGGCCGAGCGTTATAATTTCTTATACACACATAAAAGTGTGTAGGGCACTATATGAAGAGAAGAAAGAAAGAAATATAAGCCCCATACACTTTTAAATATATATATATATATATATATATATATATATAATAGTAGATAAAATTATCTCATATATAATATGAAAAATGTTAATCCTTTAAACGATGCCAAAAATGTTAATAGTAGATAAAATTACATGAAGAATGGAAGGCGTCGTGGGAGCTGACGGGTCTGGAGACGTCACAAGGAGTGACGGGTTTGCAGTGTTTTGCATCAAGGTGGTTGACGACACTGCCTGCATGTCACCCAGTCGCGCCATGCACACTAACGGGACCATTTGCATCATGTTGACCAACACGTTTGACTGCTCTACACCGAAAAAATATTTTAGAACAGCTTTCACTTGGAGAAACATTCCTCATTTTTTAGTAGTACATTTTGCCTATATATTATGCAAACAGCATGGGAAAACATATGCATGCAATATTACAAATGATGAAATGAATGAGTACATTTACAATTGTGACATGACATTCTTCTACGTTCTATTCATGCTATAAATATAAGGGGAAAATATGTCTTTTTAAGATAATTATTTTAATTAAAATTAGTATTTTTTATTTAATATGTAAATTAAAAAAAATTCTTACTTTCTTTTACTATAATTTTTGTTTATCTCACTGTAAAATACAGTAGTTTTGATTAAAATAATATAATTCTATTTCCCTTAAAATTACAAGCACTAAACCCTAAATATAATTAGTTATATTTCAACCTAAACTTTTGTTTTTTTAAAAAAAGTAAAAAAAAAAAGAAAGAAGAAAAACTAACAGGTGGTGAAAGTAACAAAGTATAATCCCTCGTGCGGGTTAATTGCCACAAAAATAGTGTCTCATACATACCAAAGACATTTGCTAACTGTTACCTCTTCACACTGCACTCAGTCTTCTCTTCTACCTCAACTCTTCCGAGTTCCATCATTCTCTGTTGTGTAAATCTGTGTCTCAAACCCCACACAGCAAGGTATGCTTATGTTGCTTTTATATAATTGGAAAATCATATAAAAGTTTGTACTTCTAAATTGGAAAATCATTTCAATGCATATGAAACTTGGAAAATAAAAATTTCAATATATTAATCAAAACCGAACAATTCCTATTGAAATTGTAAATTTCATTGGGGTCAATAGTTTTGCCAACCACTTTAGTTAAATGCATTATCTTTGCTTTTGTAGATTTATTTTTTCTTTGATAATGATTAATGTTGTATGAGGAGGCTGGTTTTGTTACTTGCTGATTAGTGTTGTAACTTCTTAGGTCATACAATGGCTGGAATAGCGTTGCTTTTAGATTTATGGAGGAAAAACCAAAGCTTTAACACAGAACGGACCTATCAATCTTCTTGGTTTTTTTCTGCATCTGCCACTGCTGCCACTTATGCTGCCGGCACCACTTTTGCCTCGAGGGATTTCTTTGGGTATGATCCTTCACCAGAATTTTATAAAAGTGTAAGATCAGAATTTTATAATAATCATTGATATGCTTTATGTGGATTTAATAAGAACTATTATGAACAAATGATGGTAGCTCAGTTGGCGCATGTGAGCTGAGTAGTAGATGGGGTGAGAGCATGTGTTTGATCATCCTCAATACCATCTTTGAACGGAGTTTAAAGTCTTAATCCTGGACCCATCCCGAATCAGAGTAGTCGCGAAACGATGAAATGATTGGAATATTTCAAAAAAAATAAGAACTATTGTGTTGAATTTAATCTGGATGGTAAAAATTAAATTTCTGATCCGTTCTCTGCACTTATCTATTTAGCTTTTTTGTTTTCTTAGTCATGCCTTAGCTAAACTTCTAGGTAAAGTGGTCAATATGGGGGAGGGTGGTGCAGTGTTCATCGATTTTATCGCATCATATGATTTTGCAGTCTAAATTTTGAGGATGCATGGCAGAGCATTATTTTGAAAATCCTACAAAATATGCATTGTTGAGTAAAATATAAGATTAGGAAAACGAATATTGACATCTTTCCTCATTTGAAATCATGCATTTTGCCTAATTTTTTGGGGGCATGTTTTACTTCTTTGGTTAACATTCAGTTTATATTGACATTCTAGCTACATAACTTCAGTTTCAGGGCACCAGTTGCTTATTGCGATGCTGGAGCAGCAATTTCTGAAGATTACATTTCTAGTACACGAAGTGTACCTCAGAAATATTTTTACCATGATACTCTAAAATATAGTACAAAGAACTACACCATTGAACTTAAACCACTGTTTTCTGCTTTTGAATTGAAGTCATTTGCAATGATTACATTGAGGTCATTCTTGATGTTCTATTTGCCTCTATTGGAGCCTCATGCAAAGATGGAACAAGATGATAATGACTTTGTACAAGACAATCAAGATGATCTTCGTGGCAATCTGACTGTTCCCTTAAAAAAATCAGTACTTCAAATCATCCGTGAGGTGAGCCTTATTTTATTTAGCCTATTATTGGTTTACAAATAGTCGTAACAAGCAATATTCACTATAATGTAGTATTAGAATAAATACCATAGTATTCACAAAAGTCTCAACATTGTTTTTCTTTCCATTTTCATCGGACAGTGTTTGAAAGTTAGCTGATAAGTTGATTTGTTTCGAATTCATCACAGGTTACTGTCGTGACAACTAGACGCATTTTAGAAAGGATCACTTTACATTATTTTTCAAGAAGATTGGCATGGAAACTGCTCAAAGGTGCATTTTTTTTTTCCAAATTGTTTTTAGATTCAAATTTAGAGGTTAAGCTTTGGAGCACCAGTGAGGTTGCTTCTTGTGACTAGAAAGTCATTGATTCGAGTCTAGAAAATATCCTCTTTTGCAATGCAAAGATAAGTCTGCGTACAATTGACGCTCACTCCTACCCTTACAAGTCGGGAAGCCTTATTCATTGGGTTTGGCCTTGTTTCTAGATTCAAATTTATATGAAAACAAATGTTTGGTACCATTTTTTCTTATAAATCTTATGTGCATTCCATTTATGTGATCTCCTGAACAGACGTTCCTCAATCAGCTGCTCGCAAAGCTGGAAGGAAAATGCCTACTTTAGTTTACTTATTCTCTGTGAGCAAAGCAACTTTCAGAGGTGAAAGCATTTAATCAATTGTATGTGTTTATTATAAGGTTGATTGAGCTATTGATCATTTCAACTATCTTGTGCAAATGTTTGTGTACAGGGCACATGCTTGGAGTTGCAGCATCATGGATTGTCCAAGTAGGAGTTAGATTAGTTCAATTCTTCACTACCAAGTCAAAGAATGAGGATGATAATATTGACAAAGCTGATAGAATCAGACTTCTTAAACAGAAGGTTTTCATTGCTACAGTTAGGTGTAATGCATCTCTAATTTTTGCCTCTCTTGGGGCAGGTATTGGGGCTACCCTTTTTCGTCCTTCAGTTGGCCAGTGGATTGGTAAGATTATCAACAATGCATGCAAACAATGTCATTACTTACTTGAATTGATCATGTTGAGTCATGCAAAGCTGATTCATTTTTATTTTTATTTTTTTAAATTGTCCCTTTTTCAGGTTGCATTGTTGGTGATTTGGCTGGTCCGGTTATTGTAGTACTTTGTGCTGACAAATTTTTTCACTTGAACCTTTAGTGCTGTTTATTTTTTCTTATAAAATCTTTTTCCCATTTCAAATAAGACTGATATGTATGAAGAAATTTTGTAGTATTTCCATGCCATTTCTGATTTAACCACTCCCAACAAGTCTCTAGACCTTGCTAATGCGTAAGGCCCTCTTGCAACTATGAATATGGTACCTTGTTATTGTTTCAACAGATTTCCAATTGTATTCCTTGAGTTGTTATTATACTACATTTTTATGAATTATTTTCAGTACATTTACCTTGAGTAACCCTCTCCCTCTGTATGCAACTATGAGCAGTAGATGGCATATTTTATGGTGTGAAAATTAGGAGATATAGTTTCTCATTTGCACGAGATAATTTGTCTCATGCAACACATTTATGTGTGGGTGGGATCCACTAAAAAAGAAAAAAAGAAAAAAGTGAATCACATCAATTTTTGTGATTCAGAGCCAACTCCGACCCAAGCCTACAAACTTGGTATCAGAGCATGGTTCATTCTAGGCACTAAAAAGTACTATAATAAAAGACATGGGAAACAATCTTAGGATGTGGAAAGGAGAGTACTGAGTAGGATAAAAGTCATTATAAAAATTTCAAATCAAATCAGTTTAGAATTTTTCTCGATCAAATTCAAAAATTTTATTATAAATCATTTCTACGGAAAAACACAACAAAAATCAGAGTGGGAATTAGAAACTTTCTTTTTACAAGATAACACTTTAGAAGATCCATTAAAATATAGATATTATAAATATTTGTGTTCTATAGTTGATTGCATAGATACTACTCATCCTAAAGATCATTTAATAAAGACTATTTTGAAAATGAATTTTAAAGAATTAGAATTTAACGAAGAAGAGTATTATTACTTTCAGAATATTTACGAAGAAGAAGGATTTGTATTGTTTGACGAACATAGTTTACCTTCTACAAGTTATTACGATTCAGATTATTATTATTCAGACTAAAATTTTATGCATATATTAGATATAGCCTTTGAAAGATTTAAAAAAGAATTAGTCTTTGTATTTAAATATTATACAGAAGGACAATATTACAAAGAATTGTGGACTTTTTTAGACAGTGATAATCATCATTATTTAAAATATAGTTATATTAAATTTCTAAAAACAGTAATAGATATTATAATAATTGATCATAATAAACAATCAGAACTGAGACAGATATTAAGACCATATTTGGAAGAAGTTGATTTAGCAGGATACGAATATTTTAATTTTGGAGATTGGTTTGAAGAAGAAAATAATTTTAGGTCTGAATACACGTTGTTATTTGAAAGTGAATCAGAATCAGAATAGATAAATTATTAAAAGAAATAAATAATAATTTAGATTATATTAAAACTACAGAAGAAATAATACTCAGAAGAATAAATAAGATAGATATAGAAAGTTTACCAACAAAGACAGATATTCAACAATTAATATTAAGTTTAGAACAAAGAAAACCAAAACCAATAGAAAAAGATATATATCAGTTTATAGAAAAAATAAATAATAAAGAAAATATTTTAGAAGAAAAAATTATAAAAATAGAACAGTTAATACAAGAATTATTAGTTTATGTCAAAAAACTTTAATTTTGGAGAGGAATTAGAAAAAATAAAAGCATATACAGAGGAAGATTATAATAAAGGTTTCTTTAAAACTTTAGATATAACATCTAAAGGAGATAAAACCATAATAGCACAAAATAATTTAATTATACAACTATTAGTTACATTACACCAAAGAATAACAAATTTAGAAGGTCATTTATTGAAAAGACAAGAAATAGATATAGATAATCTTGTAGAAGAATTTGATAAAAAATTAAAACCTATACAGCCAAGACCTAAGAAACAAAAACAATCTTGCAGTTTTTTAGTTTATAAAAATGAATAATACATCTTTTCCTGGAACTAGCAGAACAATTATAGACCAGCCTAGAAAAAGTACTAGTTTTAGATCACCTCTTGAGATATTCAATATTAAAAATAAAGATAAAATAAAATTAGAAGAAGAAATAGATATTGATAAAAATATAGAACAATTTAGAGAATCTGCTCTAAAAATATTAGAACCCAAAAGATTATATGAAGTAGGAAGATTCACTATGAACACAGGACTATTTAGAAATTATTCAGAAGAACAAGTGTCATGTGTAGTAGACCAAGTAGTAGTTTTAGACTGTATGAGTAAAAAAGCCAAAGAACAATTAAAGAAATCTCATAAAAATTATATACATACAGGATTATTTATTATAGGAGTAAAAGGATTAGTAAGAGGCTTTTTGACCCTTTTGCCCCTAATTAAATAATTAATAACCAATTTGCCCCTCCCCCAGAACTATCCACCATCCTGCCCCCATTTAGTCGATTAAGTTGCACTTTTAATCGACTAAATGGGCTAAACTCAGAAATTATGAAACGCGAATTTTAGTCGACTAAAAACTCACCTTAATCGACTAAATTGTTTGCACTTTTAGTCGACTAAGAACATTATTTAGTCGACTAGTATCCTGAACTAGTATCAGCGTCAAAATTCCCCTCTACGTCCGTATCTGAGGTGTCACCCAGCGGAATAACACTCTCGGGTTCACCATCGTCTTCACTGTCCATATCCTCGTCATGCTCATCCTCATATATTTCCCTCAGTGGTATCTGACTTAAGACAGGTGCAGGTGCAGATAAACCGACCACTCTGTCTTCTTGACTTTGACTTCTTCCATGCACAGGTGCATATGAAGATTGACCACAGTCTATTTCAACATATATCTCAATAAAGTTTTGAAATTTTCGGTCCACAATTGCATCTATGACACAGTCCACATCTTCATCGTCACATATATCATTACCAATGTAGAATATAGCATCCTTACCAACTGTAGACTCTACCCTGGCGATCATCCGTTGAACGCCATGGCTGCCGTGTAGCCCCAATTTTTGGTTAATCATCCCCTTCAGCTCATTGTACGTAGTGCCCCGTTTGATTTTCAACATTTTCGTTTTTCCTTCAAATTGAACACCGTTGGGGCCTTCATAATGCTTTCCATCATAGTAAATCATGGTAACATACATGTTTGGACTTGAGCTCATCTTTCACAGGAATTTTGGGGGTAAGAATCAGATTTTAGGGGTTAGGGTTCAGATTTGGGGGAAACAATTGAGAAATAAAGGAAAATGACAATGATTTCACAATTACTATGCCTTAGAGGTGGTGGGATGAAACGGAAGGGTGATTGGAAGGTTCACAGCTGACAAACAAGAGAAAGAGACCAAGAGAGGAGTTTTGATTTCGAATATAATGAAAATGAGGCCAAGAGAGGTCTGGATATAGGGTTTTTCGCGATCTTTAGTCGACTAAATAATGTTCTTAGTCGACTAAAAGTGCAAACAATTTAGTCGATTAAGGTGAGTTTTTAGTCGACTAAAATTCGTGTTTCATAATTTCTGAGTTTAGCCCATTTAGTCGATTAAAAGTGCAACTTAATCGACTAAATGGGGGCAAGATGGTGGATAGTTCTGGGGGAGGGGCAAATTGGTTATTAATTATTTAATTAGGGGCAAAAGGGTCAAAAAGCCATTAGTAAGAAGTAGAACTGGATGTAAAGTGCTAGTAACTCTTTTTGATAAAAGATGGGGTAAAGATGTACAAAGATCATTAATATCCTTAACTGAAGTAGATTTAAATAGTGATGTAGGGCTTTTTTATTGCACTCCTAATATGACATTACCTATAGAAGATTTTTGTAAAAGTATTAAAATAGGAATACAAACTAAAGGATTTGAAGAATTTATAAGTGGCAGTAATTTAGTAATTACGATAGGATTTATAGGAAAAACTATGCAAAATATAAGTATTAATTATAAGATCAAAATAAATGATGTAATTGAATATATATCAAGTAAAAATATTAAAATGATAAAACCTAAAGAAATATCTTCCCAAGAATTAGCAGGATTAGAATGGAACACTAGTAAATTCTTTGAAGATAAAGAAAATAATGATATACTAATTCCAGAAAATGGAGTATTTTATAATGATGGAAGAGGAGAGACCTATGTAAGATTCTTAGATTATAGACAAGGGGTTGACAAAGAAGAAGATACAGAAACAGAAATTAGTAATGAATTAATGTATAGGATGGAAAATTCATATGAATATTATACAAATAAATATAAACACAAAATTGAAGAACAAAAACAAAAAATATTATTACAAAAAGATAGAATGTTAGAAAAACAAATGAAAGATGAACAAATAATAGAAGATAAGATAATAATTCCAAGATATGATAAATTAACAGAAGAAAAATTAAAAGAATTAGAAGAACAATTAGTAAGAGAAAGAAAAATTGAAGTAGAACAAGTAATTTATCAAGATAATAATAATAATATTAGAGTAAGAGATATAACAGAAGAAGAATATGAAAAAGAATATATGATATCCATAGATGATAATATAGAAATAACCAATAATTTCGTTGGACAAGAAAAATATGAAGAAGAATCTGAACAAGAATTTGAAGAAAGTGAAGGAGAAATAGATTTTAAAATATTAGATTTAAATTTTATGGAAGGACAAGATAGTAATATACCAGGTACATCAGGAACAAATTATACAGAACCTAGAGTTTATAGATCAGGAAATTTGCCAAGACAACCTTATAGAAGTCATGATGAAACCAGAGAAAATAAATTTAAACCCAGAGGAAAAAGATATCCAGTAGAAAAACCTATACAATTACAACCAATAGAGTCAGGAAAAATTTTAAATTTAACAGCACATAGTCCTCAAATATGGGATAAAGTAATAGATATTTGGAAAAATATTGTAGTAAATGATTAATAGGAAAAGATTTTGATCATAATTCAGAAGAAATGTTAAGATATTTAGAAACATTTTTAGGAGAATCTGTAAAAGCTATATGGGAAAGATTTAAAGAAGAATATCCACAAGAGATAAATACTATTTTATCATTAGGAACAAATCCATTCAATTTTGT